GAGGAGCAGAAGGTCATTAAAACAAGAGAGCTAGTCTCTAAAAGAGACATGGCTATGGCTTGATGCTAACATGTTTGTTGCTAAACATACTTTTGTTATATTACATTTGTGTTGTGTTTTCCAAATAGTGTAGAAAATGAATGGTGGGTTCATAATGTTTACCTTTTATGAGCAGGACAGGAAGAAGAGAAGTGTAGCATTACCTCCAACTAGTTAAACTCATAATTATGAAGTTATTCAACAAATTCCTCAAGTAAAAAAGTGCAACTTTTATTTTTTCTTTCTTTCTTTTTTTTTTTTTTTTACCAGATTTGTTGATTAATTTCAAAATTATGTATTCCTTCCAAATTTCCAAATCTGAAGAATATTTTAAACCAATATCTACATTATTTAACATTTAGTTTATGTTTTAGCAGTACTTCCTGTTATATTTCTTTATACGTATATTTTACATTTTCTTGCATAGCAAGCTCAGCAGATTTGAAATTGTGTGCTTGTGTAAACACAAGTAGTCAGTCTTTACTCTAAACATATATTCTGGTTATTTTTTAGTTAGACCTTCTTGTTTTTATATATCTGTATAGTACCCCCCCCCCCAAAAAAATAAAAACACTGTACATTGATTAGAAATATTAATCATCTGTCAGATTTCTGAGAAAAAAGTCAGAATTCTGAGATTAAAGTCAGAATTTTGAGAAAAAAAGTCAGAATTCTGAGATTAAAGTCAGAATTCTGAGAAAAAAGTCAGAAGAAAAAAGTCAGAATTCTGAGATTAAAGTCAGAATTCTGAAAAAAGTCAGAATTCTGACTTTTTCCCCCATGTTAAACTAAAAAAAAAAAATGTAAAAATCAGTTAACTTTTTTTTTTCCAGTGGCCCTAATCCTCTTTAGTACAAGACTAAGATGACTAAACCAAAAAGATTCAGTTTCTATATATGAAAGTGAACTGACAACAAGACGTTATAAATAGGCAATATTCATAGCACCATCCCGACAGACCATTTTACCTCATTCACAAGTTTCTGACTTCTGTGTCGCCGTTTCCCTCCCTTCTGAGAGCTCACTCAGCAGTTCAGAGAGGGGAGGGGGAGTACAGTGACGTAACGCTATGCTGCGCCTTCAAAATAAAAGCACGCTAGTTAAAAAAATGTCAAAATCTAATATTTTGCGGTACAATTTTTGGGGGGGACATATCCACCTGGCTTTTATATTGGGGGGGACATGCCCCCCCCGTCCCCCCCGCTTCCTACGCCGCTGCATGGCTATACTAATATTAAAAACAAATATAATTGCTACATTGTACTCAAGGAAAACATCATGCAATGGGTGGCACACATTTGGAAGAGTCAAATCACCGTAGAGGAAAGCATCCTTCTTCTAGGTTGGAAAAAAACACATCAGAAAAAAAGAGTCATATTTTATCATGTTCTATAACTCTGTCATCCCAAAGGCAATATTTTATTATATATAATTTGCTTTACAATAGCATTATATAGGACCTTTAACATGGAAAGTGACAAAGATAGAGAATAAAAATAGTTATTACTTAGGTGGCACAAAATATAAAGTTCATCCACAGAAATCATATCCATCACTGTCCAGTTAGGCAGAATTGGCTAAACTCATGATCGTAGGACCTAAGGTAGCTAATAGCGCAACATCGCTACGCTTCACTTGCTGGGGAGCTTAAAGGAAAAAAAGAAGAAACAGACCCTTTCCTGCAACACCAGTTTCTCAATACATTCCTTTCAAAAGGAAATTAATTTTGAAAGAGGAGGAATGGAATTTGCAGCCGAGGTGACGGAAGGTGCTTTATTCGAATATGCTCTTTTAAATCCAAGTCATTTAAACTGTTGGCAGCCGGCTCGACTTGCTGACCTCCTGTCCTCACTGCAGTGAGGAATCATCTTCCTCATCCTTTTTTCCAGGTGTTTTACACTTTTTAATCTAACCCACCTTATTCCGTCTGACCCTTCAAGGCCAATGTAAAGTTCTTTCCTGATTGCCACTCAGAATGTATTGAGCTCAAAACCTTTGAAAAAAGAAATGACAGAAATCACTCCGTTTTATATAATGTGCTTGATGTTGTTGGAAACCATTTGATCATAACCATGTTACAAGTAAAAATTCAAGATCCAAAAAAGTAAAACGAATGGCTGGCAAGAGAGCTAAATATTATGTAAGTAGCCAGTTTATTAAACTTTATTAAAAACTTAATTTCATACTCAAAAAATTTACTCTTCAATCGATCAAAATCATAGAAAAACTTAAGTAACTAAATATGTCAAAATAGGACTATATTGTAAGTAGCTTGACAAATCTTTATCAAGGTTAAAATGATTATTTAGCAATGCTTGGCGGAAATGTTTTTAGTTAGCTGGTGGGACCACAAAAGAGAGGAAGAGGGAAGAGGCTTCACAGCATTCAATGCAGGTCCTGCAGACTCTGCAACAGACAGCTGAATGTAAAAAAAAACTTTAAATCATGTCACAGACTCTACATCAAACTTCCATATCAATGCGTTTTTTGCGCTGTGTTCCCCCCCCCCCCCCACGTCGTTTCATTTGATCACTGCTGCACTTTAAAAAAATGGAAATGTCATGAGAGCTGTCACTGCAAAAATAATCCAGACATAAGTAAAAACTTCTTAAATTAAGTATATTTACCCTTAATTTGAGCAGGTAAATAAGATTATCTGCCAATGGAATGAGTATTTTTACTCTTAAAATAAGATAGTTAGATAATATGCACTTGAAATAAGACAATAACATTGTTTTTTCTTATTTTAAAAGGAAATCGTCTTGTTCCATTGGCAAAGTGTCTCACTTACCTCCTCAATTCAAGGAAAAATGCACTTATTTTAAGAAAAAAATAACTTTTCTATTTTTTGCAGTGTACAAAACGAAATAAATGATGTCTAAGTCTCCAAGGCTAAGTCTCTATCTATATCCAGACAGAGGAATTGTCCAAACTCGATAAACTACTTAGGAAAACCTTAATTCTGACACACAACAGGCAGGTATTGTTGGGGTTTAACTGACTCACAGATCATCATTGAGAATAATACTAACAACAGGTTAGTTCATGAATGCCTAAAACTAAAAGAAGGTTAGCTGGTACACTAATGTGGTACAGATGTGTTGCTGCAGGTTTGCTGGGCTCTTCTACAAGGTAGAGTGAAATGATTCAGATATGTTTTTAGTTTGTTCTGAACAGTAGGCGGCTGCTCATTAACAGCAGGTAGCTGCTCGCACAGTTAGAGTTTGCTAATAATTTTTTTTAACCATTTGGCAACATGACAACAGTACAATCAAGGGTTGAATCGAGAGCATGCAATTGTGAATTGGCACATATGGGCCGGGGATAGTAAAAGATATAGCTATCTTCTTTAAGCACTTTTCTTGCAGATATCATCTTATGGTTAATAGGCAGCAGCCACCATTGTTAAGGGCCTTTATCAAGACAGGGCTGCATGTCTCAACACAAAGCTTCATCCTTATAAAATTATTATTTTGGTCCAGACCCCCTTGTGATATTTTAGGACATGAATTACATGTCTTACTGCATCTAACTTGCTATGTTGCAAAATGCCTTGTTTGGGTAACTGAGCAGAAAGCTTTTTTGCTTTTGCAGTCGGAGGATAAGGACTGGATATGTAAATACTTCCAAAAACCAAAGCTTAGTGGACTTTTTGGTGTTGTTTAAGTTCTCTTTTTAGGTTCTCAGTGATGTTTTATTTCATGTTATTCTGTGTTTGTCAAGATTCATATACTTTTTGAATTCTCAGATCTACTCACTTTTATTAGTTCTTTCAGTTATCTCTTTTCAGCAATTTTTGGAATAATATATTTTTTGGTCTAGTTTTAGTTGTAGTCAATAGTTTTTATTTCTTTTAGCTTCATTGAAGTTCTTTCCTAGTTAAAGTTAGATCCTTTTGTCCCTGTTTATCCCTGCCCTTTAAGCCAAGGCCTAAAAATGTCCTTTCTGATAAAGCTTATAGTTAGAGTGGCTCAGATAATCCTGAGCTATCTCTATAGTTAAGCTGCTATAGGCTAAGACTGCTGGAGGACATAGGGACCCATTTTTCATTGTTCTGCTTCATTCTATCTCTATTCTCCCACTCTGCAGAATTGTTAGTTCAATCTCTAACGTTCTGATCTCTCTGCTTTTTCTCATAGTAGCTTCATCTGGTCTGTTCCTGTTTGGCTGTGACTCCATCCTGGAGAGAAATATCAGCTGTGCTGCTGCCATCAACACCCTTGTTTCTAGATGTTGGAGATAGGCCTGTTTTCAAGTGTAGTCCTGTTTCTCTGACTGTGACTAACTGTATGTTCTCTCCTCATCCTCTTACATGGGAGCTGGCTCTGAGCATGTCTGCCTGGCTGTGTGTTTCCTGGATGGGGCCGCCTTTTACAGTTGGCATTTGAATCTCTGCTTCTGTCTCCTTAAACCCCAGTCGGCCTCAGCAGATGGCCGCTCACACTGAGCCTGGTTCTGCTGGAGGTGTCTACCTGTAAAAGAGAGTTTTCCCTCTCCACTCTAGTTGCAAGCATGCCTATTGCCTTTGAGTCAATGAGTCGATGCATTCAACTTGTTTTCTTTAGATAGAAGACTTTGAATCAGTTTGACTGTAAGATCTGGTGAACTGTAGAGTGCCTTGAGATGATATGTGTTGTGAATTGGTGCTATATAAACAAACTGAACTGAATTAAATTTAATGTGGGCAACATCTGTCACACCCAACCAAAAAAATATAGTGTTATTTTGGTGTGGACCAAACAAGAGGACCAAAGGACCTTTCTGGTGTGAACACACCATTTAGCATCGACCAAAGGATTAACACTGATTTCATTAGCTGACACAGTTCTGCCGACTCAGACATGTTTTATGAAAATAATTAAACCAACGCAGAATTTAACCAACAAATAAAAGAAGGTAAAACTGCCAAAGGTGTAATACTTCTAAGGGTGGAGTAGAACAGAGGTGTTGATGGTACTTACAATCCAGGTGACTTTGTCTGATTCCCTCTACATCTTCTGCGTGAATGAACTGGTAGCACCTCTTGCCTACAATGTCCACCGGAGTCAGGTCCATATAATCACTGATTCTGAAACAAAGGGAAAAGTTTCAAATAAAAATAATTATATGGAGGAAGAAAATCTGATCTACTCATTGTTTTTTTCATTTTGATTTCTTCCATAATACAAAATAAACCCACTATAACCGACAGTAGACACTGGACTGGTTCTACTGGGGATGTCTTCAAGTAAAACAAGGTGTCTTTTTAATGTACCGTAAATTCCGGACTATAAGCCCCTACTTTTTCCCGCTGTTTGAACACTGCGGCCTATAATACAGTGCGGCTAATACGTGTTTTTTTTCATCGTGCGAAAAACAGACAAATAAAATTGATGAGTATTCACAGAGGCCAGTGGGTTCTCAATGCGTGGAGCCGTGTGAAAACATCCAGCATCCCCGGCGGGTTTCGGAAGGCTGGGCTGCTGCGGGATGAAGAGGACCGCGAGTGCTCAAGTGAGAGCGACAAGGATGAGACTGAAGTCAGTGACAGCATCCTGGAGCTGTTCCATTCAGACACAGAGGAAGAGGACTTTGAGGGTTTTAGTGCGCAGGAGGAAGAAGAAAGTGATTAATGACTTTTCCTGGTCGGCTGCAATGTTCTGTGCGTTGTTCAATTAAAAGTACCAGTATATGCAGCGTTATTTGCGTGTTACCGACACATACGTATATTTAAATGTGTTACAGGTAGTTTGAAAAAAAAAAGCATTCATAATATGTACCATATTTGTTTGTTTTATCATACGGATTAAATCAAACGTTTTAAAAAATGCTCACGTGTAATATCTTTATTTGTAAATACCTCATACAACGTGGGAAACCTGCGGCTTATAAAAGTACAAAATTGATTTTCTTTTTAAAATTAGAGCGTGCGGTTTGTAATCAGGTGCGCTCTATAGTCCGAAATTTATGGTGCCTCTAAATTTCCTTAGCTTAAAGAACTTTTCATTTCACTATTACAAAAGAAATATTAATATACAGAAACACATCTTATGAACTTGTCTAGGATTTTTGTGAGTTTGTGCAAAATACGTTAGTTTCCTGTGCAGATTCTTAGTCATCCAGGTTATATCAACCAAAAATGTCAAAGGAAGTTAGAAAGTTTTGCTCAGGTTTGAAAGAAATACTTCATTGGCTATCCAAAAGTCAGTTCTGGCGGCTCGCACTAAAACAAGTTGTATTTGGAGGGCGACTATTTTTAAGTGAATGGAGGCCAATCCTCCTGGGAGATAGTGACAGGTTGCTTAAACACATCAACACTGCAACCAAAGGTTGCTCCAGTGCAAACTGCCAGAATCGACAAAGACTCTTGGATAGAAGAAAATTCAGAGAAAAAATTAGTGAAAGTCTGTCAAAAAATCTTTTCAATTGAAGCCCTATTTTTAGCTAGATGATGAAAATGACAAAATAAATGAAATATGAAAATAATATGAATAAGAAGATGAAATGTGTGAACGGGTATGTAATTTTGTATTTATCGAAGATTGTTTTGTATAGGAAGCTTTATGTTGTTCCTTATGAGGATTTGAATGTGATGCACAGAAATCTAACCTCAGCTTTAAGCAACAGTGGCTTTATTCTTGGTTGATGCTTTGTTGGCGCGCATAGTGATATGTCCGTCCTTGTAGGCCACATTTGAACAGACAACCTACCAAGGTTGCAGAGATGGCAAAAGTACTCAATTTCCGTACTTGAGTAAAAGTACAGATACTTGTGTTAAAAAATACTCTGGTAGAAGTGGAAGTACTGATTAAACCTCTTTACTCAAGTAAAAGTAACAAAGTACAGGCTTGTAAATTTACTTAAAGTATAAAAGTAAAAGTAGAAACCACTTTTTTCATGCCGTTGCCTACATTTTAAATGGATGTCTGCCAATAGGACTAGATCTCCGTTGTGTTCATTTTCAATCATCTCGTCGTCCATACTACTATGCTAACGCCACCGCCACCAAGCTGCAATGATTTGCCGCGAATGAATACCACCGAATCTGTCGATTCATCTTGTAGTCGTGCGTCAAATGCAACGTAGATTCCCATCCAATTAGATAGAATTTGGTATTGATGACGTGAAAAATAATAACGGTAACTCCATTGAAATGATTCAAAACTAAAGTAACGAGCCAATTTTTTAAAATGTAAGGAGTAGAAGGTACAGATATTTGTGTAAAAATGTAAGGAGTAGAAGTAAAAAGTCACCATAAAAATAAGTAGTAAAGTAAAGCAAAAATATCAGAAAAATCTACTTGAGTACAGTAACGAAATATTTGTACTTCGTTACTTCTCATCTCTGCAAGGTTGTAGCACAACTCTTCGAAAGTGACTGAGATTGGATCCAGGGACAATGGAAAAATTGTTGGAAGCTGGAGAAGTACCACCTTTCTCCAGCAGAGTCCGCCGTGGATCCTCCTGAGCAGAGCCTCCTGCACAGCTGCTGCTCATTACCATCATCAGAGGATCCACTACTTAAGCTGTCTTCAGACCTTGCCTCAACGCCGCAGTGTTGATCCAGTTGGTTAGCACTAAGCCTAGATCCTTCTGAGAACCTTTGTAGACTTTTTGAATCCAAGCTGGATTCTAACTTCTGTCTCTGTTTTCCAGGAAACCAGTTTGTCTCCTGTGAAGCTCTGGAAGAGCTTAACCTGCCAAGCCTACCCTCTGAGCCAAACCTGAAGCGTCATTTATTCAAGGAACCTGTCTGATCATAAGAAACATGTCCACCTGGTGCTACAAAGGTTATTGGAAAACAAGTTGTTCGTCAAAGCTGAAATATGTGAGTTTCATCAACCCTCAGTTACCTTTTTTGGGTTTGTGCTCGAGGGTGGGCAGGTTAATCCTTCTGAAGACAAGATTAAGGCTGTTTTGGAATGGCCAGTTCCTGAAAATCGCAAGCAGCTACAAAGATTTTTGGGGTTCGCCAATTTTTACCGCCGCTTCATAAGGAACTATAGCCAAACAGCCCTCCCTTTAACCTCACTGACTTCAGTTAAACGAACTTTTCATTGGTCACCTGAAGCTCAGACTGCATTTGAGAAACTGAAATCTTTGTTTTCCAGAGCACCTGTGTTAATTCAGCCAGACCCTTCCAAGCAGTTCATCCTTGAAGTAGACGCTTCAGATTCTGGCGTTGGAGCATTCTTGTCTCAAAGACTCGATTCTGACCAAAAGATCCATCCATGCACCTGTTTCTCTCGTAGACTTTCTTCAGCAGAGCAGAACTACGACGTTGGAGATCGTGAGCTGTTGGCCATCAAGTTGGCGCTGGAGGAATGGAGACATTGGCTGGAGGGAGCTGAGCACCCGGTTCTAGTTTGGACAGATCACAAGAACCTTGCTTACATCCAGTCAGCCAAACAGGCCAACCCTCGTCAATCCAGGTGGTCCATATTCTTCTCAAGGTTTAATCTCATTATCTCCTACAGACCCGGATCCAAGAATGTGAAGCCTGACTCCCTTTCTCGTCTTTACTCCGTCGATCAATCCGAGACACCAGAGCCTGTCCTTCCAGCATCATGCACAGTCGGAGTTGTTAATTGGGAGATTTCCGATCTCATTAACTCCGCCTTGGCCACAGAACCCGACCCAGGTAACGGTCCAGCTAACAGAACCCATGTTCCATCTTCCGTCAGGTCCCGATTTATACAATGGATGCATGCTGCCAAATTTTCTGCCCATCCGGGAGTCAGTAGAACTATTGCTTTGATTTCAAGACGCTTCTGGTGGCCTACGCTTCACAGAGACGTAAAAGAATATGTGTTGGCCTGCCCCACTTGTGCCAGAAACAAGGCCTCACACCAGCCCCCCTCGGGTCTGCTATAGCCTCTTCCGATTCCTTCTCGTCCATGGTCCCATATTGCCATCGACTTCGTCACCGGCCTCCCTGTCTCTCGAGGTATGTCCACCATCTTCACCATCGTTGATCGTTTTTCCAAATCGTGTCATCTCATCCCTCTCAGGAAGCTTCCCTCGGCCTTCCAAACGGCTCAACTTCTAGTGAAACATGTTTTCCGGTTACACGGCATTCCCCAGGAGATCCTCTCTGATCGTGGCCCTCAGTTCATATCACAAGTTTGGAAGGCATTCTGCGCAGCTCTGGGCTGTAAGACATCTCTGACATCTGGTTATCATCCGCAATCCAATGGTCAAACAGAAAGGATGAACCAGCAACTGGAATCTACCCTCCGTTGCCTCACGTCTAACAACCCAACCGACTGGAGCCAATATTTACCGAATTTATCGAATACGCCCACAATTCGCTGAGATCTGCTTCCACCGGCCAATCACCCTTCCAGGTCAGTCACGGTTATCAACCTCCACTTTTCCCCGCAGATGAGAAAGAAATTGCAGTTAAAACCATCAATCAACACATTCGTCGCTGCCAGAGAATTTGGAAGGAAACCATCGCCACGCTCAACAATTCCTCCGAGACCTCCAAACGATTTGCTGACTCCAAGAGACGTCCCGCTCCCGAGTACTCCGTAGGCCAGGAGGTATGGCTGTCTACTCGTGACATCCCCCTTAAGGGGATGTCTCGAAAACTCTCCCCGAGGTTCATTGGTCCGTTTAAGGTTTCCCAGGTCATCAACCCATCTGCAGTTCGTCTCCAGCTACCTCCGACTCTACGCATCCACCCCACTTTCCACGTCTCTCAGATAAAGCCCGTTGTCTCAAGCCCTCTGTGCCCTCCGTCCGACTCCCCACCACCCGCCCTGGAAGTTGATGGCCATCCCGCCTTCACCGTTCGTCGCATCGTGGACTCCCGTCGGCGAGGTCGCGGCTGGCAGTACCTCGTCGACTGGGAGGGCTACGGACCAAAAGATCGCCAGTGGGTTCCTGGCTCTTACATCCTCGATCCTTCCCGGATCGAGGAGTATGAGCGTTCCTGTCCATCAACCTCTTCCGGACCGCCAAGGGGCGGTCGTTGAGGGGGGGTACTGTTGGAAGCTGGAGAAGTACCACCTTTCTCCAGCAGAGTCCGCCGTGGATCCTCCTGAGCAGAGCCTCCTGCACAGCTGCTGCTCATTACCATCATCAG